TTGGTGCACCATGGGAGAGGATAGCCATTGACGTTGCGGGGCCGTTTCCGGAAAGTGAAAGTGGTAACAAGTATTTCATGGTTGTGATGGATTACTTCACTAAGTGGCCAGAAGTCTTCGCCATTCCAAATCAAGAAGCTTCAACAATTGCAGATAAACTAGTTCATGAAGTCTTCTGTTGTTTTGGAGTACCTTTAGAGATTCACAGCGATCAAGGAAGGAATTTCGAGTCTCAAATATTCCAGGAAACTTGCAGAGTTATGGGTACTCATAAAACACGAACAACTTCTTACCACCCACAATCTGATGGAATGGTAGAACGATTTAATCAGACATTGGAAAGGTACCTGGAAAAAGTTGTGGAAAAACGGCAACGAGACTGGGACAGGCACATACAACCGTTTTTGTTGTCATATCGAAGCGCTGTTCACGAAAGTACGTCAGTGACGCCAGCTTTCGCAAACTTTGGGAGAGAATTGCGGCTGCCTGCAGACCTGATCACCGGAATACCACCTGATGCCCCACGCAGTATAACCGATTATGCAAATGACTTGCGGAACAAAATGAATGACATTTATGAGCACGTCAGACAGACGGGCCAGCAAACATCTGAGAAGATGAAAACACGGTATGACCGCAAAATGAACAACAAGGGGTTTGATGAAGGTTCACTAGTGTGGTTACACAATCCAGTTCGTAGCAAAGGGAAATCTCCTAAGCTTCAAGCTAAATGGGACGGACCGTACCGGATTGTGACAAGGATCAATGATGTAACCTACCGGATACAGGAAGGTGCCAGAGGTACTCCTAAGATTGTCCTTGTGGATCGACTGGCGCGTTATTATGGGGCCAATAATGCTCGGGACGAGCATGTCTTAGGAGGGGGCAGTGTTGCGCGCTACTATTAATGTCTTGTACATGGCAACACTAGTTACACTAGCGCCCCCTAGTGTCAAGTAAATGAAGGTATTGCGCGCCACTATTAATGTCTTGTACATGGCAACACTAGTTACACTAGCGCCCTCTAGTGTCGAGTAGCAGAACTAGGAGAGTTGAGATCCTTCCAGAAATTTCGGGACCGATATGTACTCGAACATTCTAGATGTCGCTACAGGAAACTATCTGAGGCCCTATATGAGGCCGGTATAGACCAAGACCGGGGCAGTATTGAATTGGCGATACAAGAGAATACTTCGAAGCGAAATAACGGCGAACTGTGGTTTATTATTAGTGTGATTTTAGATTGTAATTAGTGTTGTGTAATTAATGTGTCAATTTTGGTAATTCAATCGGCAGTTTTTAATTGTCTCGAACCCCAAGCTCGTAACATTATTTTTGCTAACCTGAAGCATTTACTATCTTAGTTTAGCCCTAGAAATGATAAAAAGATTTTTTAAATCTAATTAACTATTCAGGTAGTTTCCTGGCTGAGTAACTTCAGAAGTCTGAAGTTAATCAGGCAGGTACTGCCAAGTTTTAAAAAGTAATTAGAAAGTATGAAATCATTTATTACTATTTTTCATTTTATGTTGCAACGGGGCCTACTCGGACTGGTTTGACATCCATAAAGGTGTCAGACAGGGCTGTGTGGCTTCCCCGTGGTTGTTCAACCTGTTTATGGACAGTTGTTTGGAAAATTTGAAAGTAGAAGAATGCGGGTTAAGAATGGGTGAGTTAACCGTCAAATGCCTTTTGTACGCCGATGATCAAGTCATACTTGCGTCGTCGGCAGCCGAGTTGCAAATGATGGTTACATTAATGAACAGGACATTAAAAGAAAAGGGAATGAAAGTGAACGCAAGTAAGACGAAAGTTATGGTTTTTGAAAGAGAAGAAAGTAAAACGATATGTGAAATAAGAATAGAAGGGGAGTTGGTAGAGCAAGTAGATGAGTTTGTATATTTGGGATGTGTGTTTAGCAGGGATGGTAGATATGATAAGGATATAGAACGACGAGTGAATGCAGGAAATAGAGTGAATGGGGCTCTACACTCTATTGTGAAAAGTCAGAATGTGTCCAAAAAGGCACGTATGGCAATTCACAATGCTGTGTTAGTACCTACTTTAATGTATGGTAGTGAAAGTTGGGTGTGGCAGAAGAAGCATGAGAGTAGAATAAATGCTGTAGAAATGCGGTCATTAAGGAGTATGTTAGGGATGAAGCTGAATGACAGAGTGAGAAATTGTTTAATAAGAGAAGAGTGTGGTTTGCAAGATGATGTTGTGACCAGGATTAAGAAAGGAATGCTTCGGTGGTTTGGCCATGTAGAAAGAATGAATGAGGAAAGAGTGACAAAGCAAATTTATGTTGCAGAGGTGAACGGCATAGTCGGGAAGGGTCGCCCTAGGCGAAAGTTTATCGACCAAATTGGCGATACATTAAAAATGGGCCAAATCAAGAGTACCTTTAACCGACGAGCGTGTATGCGTAGGTATATGGATGTGGAGGAAGCGAGAGAGGTGTGTCAGGATCGTGCCAAATGGAAGTCCATAATCTCTGCCTACCCCTCTGGGTGACAGGCGTGAGTGTTTATGTTTTTATGTTTTTTTTTTTATGTTGCAAATTCAAGCCCCACTCTCCTGACAGAAAATTTTTAAGTTTCGAATAAAATTATTGCATCTTTAGTGAATATTAGGAAGCTAATTATTTTATGCATAATAGGGCAACTCATAAGAATCATGCTACAATCAAAAAAATTTTGGAAAAAATCTCGCAATTACATTTTTTTAATGTTAGGCTGTTTAGGGTGAACATTTTCACAAAAAGGATAAAAAAAATCATAACTCGAAAACTACAAAAAATCGCGGAACATACATAGGGTATTTTCGGATACGCCTAGGTGTGAGGAATCAAAAAAAAATTTATAACCTCACTATTTGGACCTACCTCTATATATATATATATATATATATATATATATATATATATATATATATATTGCAATGTATAAGATGGAAGACCAACTATCCAAAGAAACTAACTAGCGTGGTGTGCGACAGGGGTGTATTTTATCCGCCGTATTATTTAATGTATATTATGCCGAAAGAATCATGGCCGAATTCCTCTATGGAGCTAATAAAGGTAAGATTGATACAGAGATGCTCAGGTCTCTCCGGTCAAACTAAAGAGTCCCCATTCCATGTACCTCAGGTATAGGCGATCAACTGAAAAAAAACGTGAACCTTGTTGAAATACCGTATGTCTGCCGCTCATTGGCTCTTAAACTATTATAATAACACATTTTATACAAACTATTTTAATAAAGTTTTTGAACTTTGTGCAGATCAAATGTATTATTTCTTGGATTTTGTTGTAAAAGCGCATATACATCGCTCCAAGAATAAATTACTGACTCGGTGAGGTCGAGTAACTGGTACTACTAGCTTGTGCTTGTTTCTAGTATTTGCAGAATGAACAGCACTTATTTTTGTAAAACTACTTTTATTTTTGTGTACGTACATTACATTTTCATAAATGTATTGAGAGGCCAAAGTTAATATATTAATTTCCTTCAATTATTGTGTGAGAGATTCTTTAGGTTTTAAAACATAGATTGCTCTTATGATCCTCTCTTGTAAAACAAATATAATTTCAGTGTCAGTCGCGCGTCCCCAAAGCAAAATACCATTATGCTATGGAAATAACTAAAGTAAACTAGTCTAGCTATTGTCAACAATCTTTTTCACGGCATGTGCTGAAGAACTAAGTCTTCTAGCTAGTTTTGGTACATGGGGGGCCCATTGAAGCTTCGCGTCTAGTGCGATTCCAGGAAAAATGGTGGTATCGACAAGACTCAGCTCCTCCCTATTTTAAATGACTTTGGTATTTAGAAGTTTGACATTTGTAGTTATGAGTTTCATACATTTAGTGTTAGTACCATTTAAATGCAAATTATTAACATTAAACCAATTTATTATATATATAGATATAGCATTATTTATTTCATCATATTTAAATAACTATCGTTTTAATTTGAAAATTAGTGAAGTATAATCAGCAAATAATATTATATCATGGTTATTCCCTACTATGTAAGGTAAGTCATTAATATATACAAGAAACAGAAACGGGTCGAGAATCGAGCCCTGAGGCACGCCCATTTCTACTATCAACCCGGAAGAACTCATACTATTAATGACGACATTTTACGTTCTGTTACTTAACTATAAAATAATTAATTTATGAGCATCACTTCATATACCGCAGTGTTAAAGTTGCCTGATTAATGTTTCATGGTGAACACATTCGAAATACTTGGATAGGTTACAGAATATACACAAAGCATCCTGTGAATTTTCTCTTGCATGGAATATATTATATTTAATTAGATCAACACCAGCAGCAGTTGTCGAGCGACCCCTTGTGAAACCGAATTGATTTATTATATATTTATATATATATTTACTAAATTATTTACATTTAAAAAGATCAGCCTTCATTACATATTTTTCAATCATGTGATAAAGATATTCACAAGATAAAGCACAACATAAAAAATAAGACATAGTTTTATGAATAAAAGATCTCATATGTTTCACTTTTGTATTCAGTCAGGTTATAAATTATTTGACGAATAACTTTTATCTGGTGATAAATGTAATAAAAATCAAACCTTAGACTTATTCAAAATGACCGTCATGTAGAGTGTGCGGGCATGAAAACATCGTCGAGCAAATTAGAGTACTAAAGCGGGAGAATTAAAAAAAAACATATTGTGATCAAAAGAATGCTTAGTGCCTTTGTCCATTTTTCCGCCAGCCCTGACAACAGACTCATAACTATGCGTATTTTTTAACTATTCTAGACCAGTGCTTCACTACTATGTCATCTGATGGTAAGTGGTGATGCAATCAAAAATGGTAAAGCGCACTGACTTAGCTTAACAAAAGCCTATCCACTATTGCCTTGAAGACACTATTGACAGATATGTAATTTTTTATAATTAAAACTATTATTAATTGCCATATATAAGTGTGATGAGAGAAAGATGAGTAAATACCTAGGGCAGATATAAGTGCTTGATGGCGATCTTGTAGCACGAGACATTCGCGCAGATCACGGAAGAATCGCTTGAGCACCCCGGCGACATCGTGCGCGGAATGCTGACCAGTTGCACGGACCACGCGTCCCGACGGAATCGCGCCAGCAACTCGGTAAGCACGACACTACTTCCTGCACGACGGTAGATGCCCTCTGTTAAGCTACCTGCGTTATAAACATGCTCCAGTCATTTATATGAATGATATGATTGTGATTTCCAACTAATGTAAGTTTAAAATTAAAAACGTGCATATCGTGTTCTGTAGGAGAAAAGAAGAATAATTTAGTTGAATATTATTCAATACCACCTTGTTTCCTTTTTACATCCCCATAATTGTTTTAGTTATGAAATACAAATGAAAAAAAAATTATGGAAAAATAGCGGAAGCGCAGCCACTACTCAAGAGACCTGCAATTTGGAGATCGTTAAAGAAATTTCAGATATCTAGAGCAAAAAATTGTATTATTTTACGAATTAAAACTAAATTTTAGTAACAATCGTTAAGGAATTAGATTTGTTACACAAATACAAGTAAAAGAAATAGGAAATGGAGCTTTGAAAATAGTAAGTTTCGAAATAAAATTTAAGAAGTTATTTATTTATACCTTTACAAGCATCAATGTATTTATTTTAAATGCTACATTACGAGTACGAGCCTAAAGCTAAATTATGATAGAAGCTGCATTAAATAGCACAAAAATAATCCTAAATATAAAAATTGTCAAATTTCACAAGCAACATTATGTTATGGCGACAAGCAAGAGAGGCAAAGCATACCATTGCCATGATGAATGCTAAAATAAGTGCTTTTTTAATGAATGGAAAAGCTACGTATACAGATTTAACTTTTATACTGTCATTTATTTTATTTATTATTTTATTTTATAAGGAAAAGATAGCATTACATGTATACTTTATATAACCTCTTAGCGATTGTATACGAGCTACTAAATTATCAAATATCATATGAAAATAATATTGAAAATGTTGAGAAATTCTTACTCAACATTTAACTCACCCAGAGGTCTGTAGTTAAACTAAAATAATTTGAAGGTGAAATCAATGAGTAAATACTAAGTTAAACTTAGCACAAACAAGAAATTAGTAGAATTTCTTTTTAATTATATTCATATACATTGTTTTTATTGATTCAATATAAATATTAAACGATGTGCCGCCGCAGATAATAATCTGCCCACCAAACGACGTATAGTAGAACAAAGCAGACCATAGGAGTGGAGAAGCGAAAAGAAACTCTAACAAATAGTTCTTTTCGCGGCTCCATTCCGGCCCGCTTTGCCTTCTCTCTTCAAAGACACCTGCTTCCTGGTCAACCTGTGAGATAGCCTCTGGAACTGTTGTTTATATACAGGGTTATTATGCAATAACCAGCCAAAAATGCAGAGAAAGTTCAGAATAACTAGGTAATATAGGCAAATGGCGAAGAAAATTTAATTTAAACATATCTCAAACATACTGTCCTTTTTATCTTATAAATTTAAAATGCGTGGTAATGCATTATATTAATTGCTTGTCATTCAGAAATCTCTCTTTTACGATACGAGTATGTGTGATATTTATTACACATAATATTCTTCTACTGTTTTACTACGCACGCACACATTCTTAGTCATAACCACAGTCACACAGTCGTAAGGGTCGATCGGTCGGCAAAAGTTGCGAACTAAGCCGTACGTAGAGGAATAGTTGTTGCCCATAAAAAACATACAATTTTGGATAGTTTCAAATAAACCTAAAAGCCATAGACTTACCTTATATAACGTAGAAGCCATAGACTACTTAGAATATACCGGCGTACAGTATATTCTAAGTCTATGGTAGAAGCCTTATTTACTTGTATTTTCAAAAACTGCAATAACGGTATATAATCTATACAAATTAATAAAATTGAAGTGTCTGTTTGTAATGTCAAACTTTTTACCAAATGCATATGAAAGTATATACGGTACTAATAACAAAAACACAATTTTTACAAGTTTTTGTTTGTCTATCTGTCTGTTTGTTCCGGCTAATCTCCGAAACGGCTGGACCGATTTTGACGAGATTTTCAGATAGCTGATATCACAAGAAGTAACTTAGGCTACTTTTATTTTAGAAAAAGAATTAGTGTTGCGCGCAAAAAAATTAAAACCCCAAAATACACGCGGGCGAAGTTGCGGGGAACAGCTAGTTATTTATATATTTCAACTTAAGTTTAAATATTGGCTACTTTTTGAAAAGTAATCCTGTATATCTATTATCTATAGTATCTATTTGAAAAAAAAAATTGTTAAACAATTTGTAGAGAGGATCCATTACCAAATTTTGTACCGTGGGTGTTGTAAGAGGCAACTATGGGAAATATAAAGATGTCTTAACCTACGAAAGATGGCGGTATCTCTTATGTGTGTATGTATGGATGTGTGTATAATGTGTAACATGCTATGCTAGATGTATGTGTATAGACCGGCGATGGGGGAAAATCGCCAAATGCGATCAAACCGCGCTTACGGCAAATATTCTTAAAAAACGGGAGAGACTCAAGTACAGCAATAAACTGTTACAAGCTGCTTATAATAGAGAAGAATTTTATAAAACAATATTTAGCAATAATAAATGTCTCTATATTTCATCTATTACGTCCTATTAAAGTCCACTGCTGAAATTTATAAATAATTATAACATACATAGAGCCGCGTCGGTTAAGATCGAAGTACCTACCTTGCGCGTAAATGAAGCTCCTGCATCAGGGTGACATCGGCATTATTTAAGGTTGTAAAATTTTGCTGGAGTTCTTTTATGCGCTCGTCCCATACATCGTCACGTTTTTCCAGCCTATTAATATCATGCGCAAAAGTTTTAGATACATTTTGGATCGCTGAATTTAAGTCCTTCTGCTACTGCTGGCGCACACTGTCAAGCTTCGCTTCCCTATATTCAGTCAAGGTGTCGGTGTCGTCGTTTATAAAAATAGACGTAGTTGCGTAATCTTTGAACTTAGGTGACACTGTCCCTCCTAACGTACCAGCGAGCCTCTTATTTTTACAGGGCGGGTATTTCCATTTGATTTTATTCAGTGATATAGCGTCGCGTACGCGTTCAGTCCGAACACTTTACAAAACTCGATATTAATTTGTAATTATTTGATATACCTAGTTTTAATTGCAGAATACTTTCACATTACCAAAATCTCACTGACTTTAGTTCACTTGATAAAGAACTGTTTATACGATAAATGAGACTTAAGTACTCGCTAGAAAAATAAAATAAAAAATGAAATAGATGCATTATCTAAATTAGACCGATGACAACAATAAGGTGTTAAGCGATAGACTACTATAAAAAACATTTCAATTTATTAGTTAACCGATTACGAATAGCTTCTAAAATCAAAACTATGAAGCAATAATAATCTTATAAGAAAACGCTTAGTTGAATCTCAAAGAAATGTCGAATTAATAATTTGAGGGTCTTGGGTTCGATTCCCGGGCCGGACTAGTTCGTCGTTTTCTTAGTAATATTTTTTTTAATAAATTCATATAGGAAATTTTTAAGATATAAATTATGTTTCCGGGTTCAGCTCCCCGGTTGAAATTACCTTTCCAATAACACTGTTAATTTAAAGAAATATTAAAATAAAGTTAGAGACCAGGATTTGTTCCCCGGTCGAAATGATCGCTTTGTGTATAAGTGGAATTAATGTAAAAAAAACATTGCATAAGTATTATCTTATATGTATAAGTTGAATACGTTTTGTATGAAAATAAAATGTCTATTTTCAATGTTTGGTTCATAAAATAATTTCTTTGTGTTATCTGATAAGAATATGATAACTGATAACAACTTTGATATTTGATAAGAGATCTACTAGGAAGCTACCTTGCCGACAATGGGAGTCGTGCAGGGATTGGTTGCTCATCTTGTGATAATGGACAGCAGAGAAATAGGCTAAAATTGCCACCTGCTTTACCGAAAAAAGAACATTGTTTCAACCTTATATGTTAGATATTTAAGAATTCTAACTTAATACATATGTTGTAAAATAGGCATATTTTGTTGAATAAATAAAAGGTTTTTTGTGATATAAAAATGTAATGTATATCATAGTATAGATATTTTTGTGCTATCTTTATAAATAAGATGTATAAATGTATGTTTTATATAAATAAAGATATCGGGGAAACCGTGAGGGAGTGATAGTACAAATTTGATGTAATTGAGTTGCGAAATCGCACAGAGGGCGCGGTTCTCTTTCGAGTATAGCTTTATTGATACCCCATTAGACTGGTTTTCATACAAATCGTTCGGGACCAGCTACCAGTATTAATATATAATCAAGAAAGAAAAAGTATAGGGAAGTGATAGGGAAAGTAATTACTCTCTCACGGAGCGGTTTGAAGATAGTTGCTGTTTTATTCCCAAGGGATCCTTCACCTTTAAATATAACTACAGTCCATCTGGTGTCGCTAACGCGGCACATATTGAAGAATTAAGGCGCTGGGACCGGGACGACCTCGGAAGACCCGTAATCCCCGCCTGAACCTATTTGTAGAAAAGAAAGCGGACGATACCCTTGTGTGTTCCTCCGTTGCGGGGTTCACATGCGTTGTTGCCGGACCCAACGTAGGTGTCATAGGAGGTTACGGAATCCGCTGTGGAACGAGCCGTGACCACAAACCTTCCCTCGTTCCTTTTCAATAATATATTGAGAAACGTAATAATTTTATTTTTATGTACCTAGGTTCTAAAATTTTTAAAAGTAAATGGCAATACTAATGTATGAAATATAAACAATACACGCCCCCCCCCCCCCCGTGGCGTGTATGGGCAAATGCATGCTAGCTGGTAAAGTCTTGAATTTGTTTTACTTTTTTATATTTTAGGAGCTTACAGGTCTCTGATAGCAGTATCCTCATATAAAGATCGAGGAAGGCGATGGCGGTCAAATGTGTGTCATACAATGTCAACAGGTGCTGTTTGTGAGGGCTGGTATGCTTGGCTTCGCTGTTGACTGTCGACAGAATGTCACAGAAATAAATATATGTCTTTGAAGAATGTGTAATAAAAGTCTTATATGCTACTTTAATCCAAAAATGTTAACTATTTTAAACTAGATACACAATCCCATGCAAAAGTTCTCTAAAAGCTTTCCCCATTCCCCTAT